TAGATTTAAGCAACAGATTTTTTTCGATTTTGTAAAAAATTTTAATTAAGTTTAATAAAGATAAGAGCAAGGTCTCATCATTAATACCAAAAAAAAAAAAAAATAATAATTTAAATTAAATAAAATCAAATTAATTTAAACATAATTAATAATATTAAATTTAATATATTATTAACATATTAATTAAAAGAAAATAAAAGTTATTATTAATAATAAAATTTTTACAATTTTAAATAATCAATATTTATTTATTTAAAATAATTTATAATAATTTGATCTAAATTGCATTAGCTAGATCTAGTCACAGTTTAACTATTATTATATTAATTTAAATTAAATAATTCAATATAATTCAAATAGTACCAAAATTAGCTAAAGACAACCGGCCAAAAAATAGTAATATTTACTACTCAACAATACTTCATAGACTAAGAAGAAAAAAGTACTAAAAAAAATTAACTAGAGTTTACTAGTGCTTCTAGTTTGTTGAACAACAAAGTGAAGATATATTGTTAAAAAAGTAGTTTTTAAAAATTTTTTTTATTTGAAAAATTAGTTTTTGAAGAATCAGCTTTGACTCTGTAACATAGATCACTTAAAACAACAAACAATCATATAACATGTTTGTAATTAAAGTAAACAAACAAATATCAACATGAATACAAGTTATATGCAAATAAGAATGCCACCACTTACAGAATATAAAAACTTCTTCACCAAATCAAAAGAAGAGAAGCTTTTACTTTATAGTAAACAAAAGCTAACCATGCTAAAACAAGACAAATTCGTGGCAGAATATCTTGGAACCAATAATACCTGCCTTATTGCAATTATTCATATTGTTATTGAAAGATATAGGTAAGCAGAGAATAAAGAGTTTAAATATAAGTTTATCTCAAATAAAGAGAAAACTTTGCTAGAAATTATGGTCACAGAAAATGACATAAAAGAAAAAGTTGACAGGAATCGATCTATCCCAATGAACATCATACTGGTCAAACCAATTACTCTGTCAAACAAATATGAAAAAAATATACTAAACAACACCAAAAGTCCTGTTCATAAAAAATTTTTCTCTGAACATGAAGAATCAAACAATACAACTGATAATGAGTCAGAGACTAGTCAAAGTATCTTGCTACAAAACAAAGTTGGCACTCTGAACTATCATCTAGTTAAACCTCCCTTAACAGACAAACATAGTAGTCTGAAAAGTGAAAATAGCAAAAAAGTTAAAAAACACAAAGATATATTTAATTTAGCATGGGCACCTAAAGAAAATTTTACATCAAAAGATTATACAAATGAATCCTCCTACTTCTTTACACTCTGGGATCTTCTGAGAGAAACAAACATAGCAGAAATTAAAAAATTTCTTAGGTATTTCAGTGCAAAAATATTCTAGCCTGGCAACATAACTTTGCAAGCAAGGCAGCTTTTATCAAAATCACAACATCTACTAAAGAAAGAAAAAATTCATTAAGAGAAAACTGGTTAGTACACCTTGACCAGGTCTAAACGTACAGAATCATACTAGGCAAATTTGATATTGGACTTCTAGAAGAACAAAATAAATACAAAACAATAATTAATAATGTACCACCAACAGCATATGATAGTCTTTTACTCTGTTAGCTAAAGAAATACAAAGTGCAAGCAGTATATATACTAAATAACTGCAATAGCAACTATAGTAGAAGAGCACAATTGTATTTTAAGTCAGAGCAAGACCTATTACAAGTCCAGAAGTCCAAATTATACTACTTTAATACAAAGCTTAACAGGATACTACATAATAAAGAGCCAGAAAGCAGTGATGCTACAATTATACATATTCACATAGTGTTAAAAGGGTTCAACAAACTCAAGTAAATCTTCTTGGCAAACTAATACAGAAAACAAAAAATTTAAAGAAATATGCGATCAGGATATCATTAAGCGCAGAGACTCAAGACTAAGAGTGATTGAGAAAAACCTAGATCCAAATAAAGAAAATTCAGATCCACAAAATAGCAGTATAGTAATATTTTATGAAAAAAGTATTAATAATCCGAAATGCAAGTTTATAGAAAAAAATATTTATTTTGCCAATGAATAAAAGAAAAACAAAAGGCCAAACATCAAGAAAAACTGGAAAAATTTTTAGGAAAAAGCAGTACAAAAAAACCTAATCAAGTTAACTTGCTACAGGAAATTCTTAAAAGACTAGAATTACTTGAAGAAAGACAAAATAGAGGCAAAGCCTCTATGCGCTCCTAAAGGCACTACAGGCACCACACTAATAACAGTTATCTGAATATTAGCCAGGTTTAGATACAACCAGTACCAACTAAAAATTCAGAACTAGTTAAACAGATTAATATAGCAACACACAATATCAATAAGCTTAAGGTACATAATTACAGAATAGAACTTTTATTAAAGTGGGCAATAGAAAAAGAATACAACATAATCAAAGTCACAAAGACAAACCTACACAAGTGAGATACAGGGTTTATCTTAAAAGACAATAGCAACTTTAAAGAAATATGGTCAATTAGTTCAAAATCAAAAAAGAAAGATTTCAGGGTTGGCTTTCTAGTTCAAAAAGACTTAGAAAAATATATTGGTAGAATAGAGAGGCTAAATAAGTATATTTTGATAGTACATTTCTATCTTAAGATCTACAAGTTAGTAATAATTTTGGTGTATATTCCCCCAAGTGATACAGAAATAATAAAAAGGATAGAGCTAATAGTAAGAGACAAAATAAGTAAAATGCAAGATAAGGATCTCACAATAGTAATAGGAGACTTCAACTACATGGTAGACCTATTAGTATGGTGCACCAAGTCACTTTACATCAAATGCGCCAAATTTGGGGTATATATAAATACTATTTAGCCAATCAGAATGCATTATATACTAATTCTGATTGGATAAAAAAAAAATTATAAAAA